AATCAAAAAATAAATAAATATTTTCCAACAAACATTTTTCATCAGAAATTTTGTTAGAAATTTTTTGATGAAAAAGCCTATCGAAAATGCAAAAAATTTGTCCAAAAAATATAAAAAAATAAAAGTTAAATAAATATTTTTAACAGACATTCTCTGTCAGAAATTCTATCGAAAGTTTTTTGATGGAAAAGTCTGTCGGAAATTCCTATCAAAAAATTCTAGATGAAATTTCCAATGGAATTTCTAACAAAAATTTTCGTCAGAAAATTTCTGACGGAAAATTTCATCAAAAATTTTGCACTGACAATTTTACAAATTTGTTGGGATTTGTATTTCTTTTTTGACAGAATTTTTGATGGAAATTTTCGTCTGAATTTTTGCAATCTGATAATTTTGCAAATTTGTATATCTTTTTGACATAAAATTTTCGTTAGAAAATTTTTGACGAAAATTTTCATCAGAAATTCTATTGAAAACTCTACACTCAAACAATTTTACATATTTGTTGGGATTTGTATCTCTTTTCTGATGGAATTTCTAACAGAAATTTCCATCGAAAAATTTCTAATGGAAATTTCTGTCAAAAAGTCCATCAAAAATTCTGTAATCTGACAATTTTACAAATTTGTTGAGATTTGTATCTCTTTTTCAATGGAACTTTCGACAAAAATTTCCATCGGGAAATTTCCTACAGATATTTCCATTTGAAACTCCGTCAGAAATTCTGAACTCTCGTAATTTTGTAGATTTGTATCTCTTTTCCAATGGAATTTTCATCGAAAATTCTGTTAGAAATTGCAATCTTTTTGCGATTTGTATATCTTTTTCAATAGAAATATCCATCAAAAATTCAAAAAATCCATCGAAAATTCAACTTTGCCGGCCTTTGGGGATTAGTAACTTTTTTTTCGGATGGCTTTCCATCGAAAAGCCATCGGAAAACTTTCTTTAAAAGCCAACAGCTAATCTTTCCTCCATCTCCCTATATATATATATATATATATATATATCTTTGTTCTTCCTTCTCAACAAATGCTCGTTGAATGCCATGGCTGCTTAGTGGTGATGAAGACCAACCACTGCCACACTAGACGATAAGAATGAAACTAGCCACAATTTGGAGAAGTTAAGGTTGGTTTTTTTTTCTTTTAATCTAAATGAAAGAAATCAGGTCTACTAAAACAGTGTCTGATTTCTTCTATATTCTTTCTTCTTTCCTTCATTTCTTTCTTTCTTTCCTCTTTTGCTTTCTTACAGTTGTTCATTTCATCATCATTTATCAACCCTCTTTTATTTTGGCCTTGTTTGCTCATCTTAGCCCACTCTCTATCCACAAGGAAGCCCTAAATGTGCAAGACTAATGAATCTCCAAAAAGACTTGATATTATAATAGTAATAATTTATTATTAAATATAAAATATAAACAATTAAAAAAATAAAAAATAAATTTTACAATAATGTAAAATATAAAAATAGAAAAATACTGTAGGAAACGTTACTGAAAAAGTTGCTAGATGTCACTACAAAAGTTGCCAGATATATTGCTAAAAGTTCGTCAAAAATTTCATCGAAAAAATTTTTGATGAAAAAGTTCCTTCAAAAATTCTGTTGGAAAATTTCCAACGAAAAAGTCCATCAGAAAATTTTTGACAAAAACTTCGCTCAGTTGAAAATTTTTTGACATAGTGAATTTTCTGTTAAAAAACGTTTTCGACAAGCTTTTTTATGGTACTTTTTCTGTTAAAAATGGACTTTTTTGACCTTTTTTTAACAAAAACCATCCGTTGGAAATGACTTACTTTCTTGTAGTGTGTAATTAAACGAAACTTTGCTTGTAACCAAAACAGTTATCGACATTATGACTCAAGCTAAAATTGGTGAACAAACTGTGTATTTTGCTTGTAATTGGACAGGGTTATGCTTATAACTGAATGGAAATCCTCTCATAACCAAACTAGTGGATGACTAAAGCTCATTATTTTCAATAATTAACGATAATGTTTGCAAGTCTTTATTTGTAACTAAACTAAACTTTGCTTGTAACCGATACAGTCGTCGACATTGTGACTTAGGCTAAAATTGGTGAATAAATTGTGTATTTTGCTTGTAACTGAGTATAGCTATGTTTGCAACTGAATGGGTCCCTACTTGTAATTAAACAAAACATTGCTCTCGTAACCATTTAGTTCCCTACTTGTAACAAAACAAAGATATGCTTATAATCACCAAAATGGGGAGTCACTAATTAGTGGCTAACTGTAAAGCCCACGCCCAAATTAGTGATCCACCAAGAGAGGGTCACTAATTAGTGACCCATTTTGTAACCGACTCACATACAGTCACTAATTAGTTACCTTTTTTGTAATCAAGTCATATGCGGTCACTAATTAGTAACCCTTTAGTAACTAAAATAATAGCAGTCGCTAATTTTGTGACTGATTTCTAACCAAGGTGACTGTAGTCACAAAATTGATCACAAATCAGTTATTATATTTTTTCCAAAAAAAATGAGCATAAGTCAGTTATTATAGGTCACTAATTGTGACCCATTTGTTGGGTCACTAATTTGCAGTCACTAATTTCTTTTTTTCTGATAGTGAATTCTATTTACTATTGAGGGTGAAACAAAAAATAAGCCTGAGTAAAACTTTCAAATTCAAATGAAACTAGTAATTAGGATACACTAAAGCAAAAATACAAAGTTTGAGAAAATTTTTAATTATTATTTCTAGAATGACAAATGTTGTAGCAGCAGTGAAAAAGGTAATTTCAATAGTCTAATTGAAGGTTTTTTTTGTGAATCTTAGATCATGGGTGGTTGTGTAAGTTTTGAAAAGTTTAGGGCATGTTTGCAATGAAATCAAGCTCAAAGGATTGTAAGTGTAATACTCATACAAATAGGTCATAGAACTTTGGGGTGTTCATGGTTTTAAAAACTGAATCGAACTGAATCGAATTGAACATACCATACTGAAAGTTAGGATCTTTTTTTTCAAAAATGCTATAAGTTTTGATATTAGGTAATACAGTATTGAATAATTTGGTATGGTTTAGGTTTTATATATAAAAAAACCAATAAAAGACTATACCGAATTGAATATTATACATAATAATTTATTATATTATTTATATTATACATAAAATATTTAAATTTCTAGAGATTAAGAACAATTTAATATTAAATTGAAAAAATAAAAAAGATGGAGACTTACATGAAAACGAGGTATAAATATGTGGGGTTAAAGTATAAAAAGAGAAGATATATATATATATAGAATTTTGTTTGGAACACTAACCCTCTCCTCTCCCATGCACAACTCTTACGATCTCCTTTTCTCTCTTTCTTGCGGTTATCTCGTCTCGCTTGCCTCGCCTCTCTCCTCCACAGTCTCCCCTTAATTTTTATTAATTGTAGTTATGATTCATGGTTAATGCAGGTCAAAAGGTGACAAAACAAAGTGAAATGATGAGTTAATCTCTTTTTTCTCTCTGTTTTTTCTTCCTACTTTTAAATCTCTATTAGTTTTGAAATAATAGACATCATGTTATTATATTTGGTTAATCTATATTATGCGCCTTCTTGTTTATTTTATAAGTTTGTCTATCTTTGTCCATCTATTTATTTACAAACTTTAAGTCATTTCTTTAAATTTGTTTACTTATTTGTCGGAAAGTGTTTATACTCATTATTCCATGATATTTTACTTAATTGGTTAGATTAAAAAATAACAAAATACTAAAAAAATGAATCGAACAGTACTATACTATACCATACCATATTGAAACCAAATAGATTGGTATCGGTATCAAAAATTATCATTTTGGTTTTAACTTCAAAAAACCAAATAAATTGGTATAGTGTATTTTGTAAAAATAATCCATAAAAAACTAAACCCTAAACACCCCTAACAGACCTGCATATTTTATTATTGACTAATTTGTATATTGTAACTCAAAAATAGTGGTTTTTAGTACTTTGCACCTTAAAATTATAATTTTGATATTTAGCACTCCAACTTTATCAAATATGTAGTCTCACCATACAATTAATGAGTAAAATTAGAAGTTTCTATCTTGAGGGATAAAAAAATGAAAAAAATTTAAATTCCACTTTTTTCTATTATTACTCTATTCAACATTCTTAAGGCTTTTTTTAATTATTACAGTCATTTTTTTATAACTTAATTAACAAATTCTAACCCAAATATATTCAAATTAATTTTATTTTTTTAGGTAAATATAATGTGACATTGTATTTTTTAAATAATTTATTTTGTTAAATATAAATTGTTTAATTTTGTTAGAGAACAAGAGGAAATTTTAAATTTAAGTTTATATAATTAAAAAAGTTAAATTCTAACTTGTTTGGTTATTAAATAACTGATAATGGATTTAATTATTAATCCATTAAATTCTAATCTATTTGTTTGGAATGAGAATGGCAAAATATTTGTATTTGTTTCATAAAATTATTATCCATTTTCAAAAAATAACCATGTTTGGCATTATTTTTAAAACATGCTCTTTTCATTTAAAAAATTTTAAAAATCATATTATTATTTTCAATCAATAACAAATGTAATAAAATGAACAAAAAATTTTAAAAATAAAACAAGTTTAAAAATATTTAATATTTTCTCTTTTCTCCACGGTCTTAAAATGAATGAAAATATACAAAAAAATAGAAAGAATGTTGAATAAAGTGGAAAGAGAAAAATTTGGTCCAAGTCAATTTTTTTGCCTTTTTACTCTTCAATAATATAAATTTCTAATTTTATCCTTCAATTATATAGTAAAAGTGCATTTTCATAAAATTAGAGAATTGAATATCAAGATCATAATATTAGAATGTAAATACCTCTATTATTAGGTTGCAACTTGTAAATTATACTTTTATTGTTCGGTGGGTCTTGCATCATTGCACACTTTATTATTTGTTTGATTTAACGAAGCATCGTAACTTTCAAATAATAAAGTCCTCTTTCGGAATCCGTCATCGGATGCAGGTGGCGAGCAATGGAAAGTACAAGAGCGTGTGGCACAAAGCAGTGGTGAACAGCACAGCTACTAGGATTTCAATTGCCGTGGACTATGGACACCCACTTGAAAAAATTGTCGTCCCGGCGCTAGTGTTGGTGGACAGCGAGGGTCGACCGCCGGTGTTTAAGCCGATGTTGTATAAGGAGTACATGGAACTCCAACAGCAAGGCAAGCACGGCTTGGATGGCACTCGCGTAGGGTGAAATATGTACCAGTAGTTATAACGCTCGCTAGCTTGCCGTCTAGGAGAAAGCGAAAAATAAAGCAATATAACTGTAGAAGTTATTTTTTCCCCTAATTTTTTAATAAAAAATTGCAATTGAAGAAGTTGGCAAGCTTCTTTCTTTTTTGTGTTTATTTTCTTAAAAGTGAATTGTTTGGTTTATAAAAATCTCAAAATATAGTATTAATTTTAATTATTTTTAAAATTAGTATGAAATATTTTTTAAAATTACTTAAATATATTTTTAAATGTATTTTATTCAGACACACTAACACGGGAAAAAAGAAACGTGAGGCACGCTGAGGAGCATTAATTCGCCCAATTCGCAAGTTTTAGGCTTTTAACTGTTGGGTATATTAGGACGTTGGGGGGCGTGTGGGACCGGGACCTTTCTCCACTCACAGCTTCATCTTGCGCTTCAATTTGTCTCCTGCCCAAAAGATATGGCAGCAACCGTCACATGCTCAGCCGGAACTAGGTAAATGAGTGGAATTTTGATCAAATCAGAATAATTTGAATTTAAATTTGAATTTGATTATTAATGTATATATTTGTATTTGTTTTAAAATTTTATAAGATTTTTACTTCTTATTACTGTATCCGAATTCGATAAAAATCTGAAATCTAAATAAAAAAATCTGATCAAATAGTAGTTAACAATAATTAAAATCAAATAATTAATAAATAAAAAATATGTAAAATCAAATAAATTATAATTTATGAATGATAAAAAATTCATGTAAGATTTATGTTTAATTATTTTGATTTTATTAAAATATAAATAAAATTCAGAAATAAATTGTTATTTATGAATGATTAAGAAGAACTTTGTTATATAATATATTACAAAAGTTATAGTAAGATTCCAATATTTTATAAAATTATCAAGTTTTATTTGTATTATAGTTAGAACTTAAAAAATTTTGTAATCAATTTAATCAAATGTTTCATGAAATTTCAAAAATAATTAAGTATTAAATATAATACCTACTTGAAAAGTTAAAATTAGAGAAAGTAGAAAAATATTATAGAATAGTTTAGAAAAAATGTAAATTATTCTATTGAATAAAATGTCTCAAAAATACAAATTAGTGCATTATTAATTATAATATCATAAATATTACATTATATATAAAAGTATTTATTAATATATATAATTATTAATTAAATAAAAAATATTATTATAATATTTGGATTTGGATTTTTAATGGATCGGATTGCTTAATTCCATGTCCGCTCCATTTATTTCAGATTACGGATATTTATAATTAGATTTAATCCATCGGATATTTTAATTGGTTAAAGAGCCTAAAATTCAAATCGGATTTGGATTAAAATTGAACCCATTGATAGCCCTATTCAGCCCAAACTCCTATCACCGAAGAAAAGCAAAGCAACGTGAAGGGACTGGCTCAGTCTACCCTCACTTCCATCCCGTCTTCCTATTTTATGCACCATGACATGACGGGGTTTGAGCCAGAAGAGGACTCAATCCCAGTCATCGATTTTTCCCTCCTCACCTCCTGTGATCCCAATCAACAATCCAAAGCCATCAAAGATCTTGATAGAGCCTGCGAAGATTGGGGTTTCTTCATGGTTTTTTTTCCCCCCAAGTATATTGCAATGTGAAAGCTAGCTATGGGACTTAAACTCAAGCTTAACATTGTATCTTAAGCCATGCATGCATTTTCAAATGAAGCTGAAAATGATTAATTTTTTTTCCTTTTATTTTTCTAATTGGGTTAGGCTTGAAATTAGTTAAACTTTTGAAGTGTGGCAATGTTAGAACTAACTAAACTAACTATGGTTAGTTTAATCAATTGTAAATAATTATTTTGTTGGTTAATTAGATCTTAGTTAAAGCTAGTTAGAGTCCTTCCAGAAAGTTTGTTCAACCTTTTATAAATAAAGATGAGATGTAATGCCTTATAATATACAATAATATAGAAATCTTTCAACTTCTCTCTCTCTCACTCTCTGTCTTTCTCTTTCAATATTACTCTGTTATCATGGTATTAGAGCTTCAACCTCACGATAAACCCTTCTGATGATTCTTTGTTGGAGAATTGAAAGCAAGCTACTTTTCCTTGAAGGATTGATATTGGTTTACGGCTCTAGTCTACTCTAATTGGCTCTATTCTACGATCGTTGCTATTCTTGCTGTTAATCTGCTAATTTTCTAAAATCAAATGGAGATGAATTCACAAGATACAACAGCTACAGCAAACTCTGGAATACGTATTTCGAATCTCTCAAGCCAACTTTTGGCCATTGCTTGTCCACAAACTCTAACCATAAAACCAGATGAAAGCAATTATATTGTTTGGAAGAATCATCTACTTAACATCATATATGCCAATGATGGTTATATCATTGGTGAAATTTCTACTCCTAATGAATTTCTTGGTTATGATAGAACTGTTAAGAATCCAGATTATGTTGCTTGGTGTAGAACAAATAGACTTGTCATGAGTTAGATTTATGCTTCCTTAATTGTGAACCGCTAGGTCATATTATTGGTTTGTCTTTTGCAAGAGAAATTTGGGAGTCATTACAAAAGAGATATGAATCTTCTTCATCATTACGAATAATGAGTCTTAAAAACAAATTGCAACAATTATCAAAAGGAGGAAGTGGTTTAACTCAATATTTGGCAAATCTTAAGTCAATTACAGAGCAACTAGCTACAATCGGTCAACCTATTTCATATAATGAGCATTTAGCTTATCTACTCGAAGGATTACCTGCAGAGTATGATGTGTTTGTCACGGTAGTATATAACTGGCCAAATTCACCAACTTTAGAAGAAGTTCAGAGCTTGTTAATCCTATTTGATCAACGACTAGAGAAAAGAAACACCACTGAAAATCAAATTTTGCCTCAAGCGTAGCTTAATTCATTGAATCTTGGACCACGAAATGTTAAATTGAATTACAAAGCTCATATAGGATGGGGTAAACATTGGAATTCCAAGTCTTTTGGGAACCAAGGGATTCTAGGGCATTCTTTGTATTTGGGCAAAAGAGACAGCTCTTCTAGGTTGTCAAATCTGAGTCAGCATCTGAAATTCGGGTCGTGGATCTAGTCTCTGCTCGAGACCAACTAATTCTGGATAGTTTGGGCCAACTAGCATTGGATAGTTTGGGCCGACTGGATTTGGACAATCTGCTAACTTTGGGCCAACAACTTATTTTGGACCGAGAGTTAGAGGGCCCAAACCAAAGACTAAATGCCAAATATGTTTCAAGAAGGGTCATTCTGCAGTAATTGTTATCTTTGGTTGAATCCAAATTTTCAAGCCCAGGCTTATGTTACAAATTTTAATTCTTCTCCTGAAATATCCAATTTTCAGGAATACTCCTCTCAACAATCTGGACTAGTTAATAATGATGCATGGTTTTTGGATTCTGGAGCTACTCATCATTTAACCTCTTCAGTTAATAATCTCAGCTCTGTTTCTTCCTATCAAGGTAATTTGCAAGTTATGGTGGGAAATGGTAAATACATTCCTACTCATCATATTGGTTATAAATCCTTTTTATCTTCTTCTAAACCATTGTTTCTTAATAAAATTCTTCATACTCCTCATATCTCTAAAAATCTAGTAAGTGTTTCTCAATTATGCATTGATAATAATGTTTCCATTGAATTTGACTTTACTTCCTTTGTGATTAAGGATCAGTGATCTCATCACCCACTTCTAAGAGGAAAACTTGATCATGGTCTCTACAAATTGATCACTCCAAAAACTTTGCAATACAAGACCTTGGCATCTTCATCTCTACAACCATTTTCTTTTACTATTTCTTCTGCTATTTCTCCTAATAATGTTTGGCATGCTCGACTAGGACATTCTAGTCATGACATGGTGTCAAAAATTGGTCAAACTTGTAATCTTAAGAATTTTAATAACAATTCCTCTAAAGTGTGTCAAACATGTCTCAAATTGAAACACCACCGTCTTCCTTTTTCTCTTTCTACTAAAAGAGCATCTCAATCCTTTGAATTGATTCATACAGATTTATGGGGACCTGTTCCTATCTCTTCAACAAATGGAGTTAGATATTTTATTATTTTCATTGATGACTTCTCTTTATTTACATGGATTCACTTTCTTCGTAATACAAATCAAACTCTTTTAATATTTTAATATTTTCTTAATATGATCAAAATATAATTTTCTTTTGTTATTAAAATAGTTCGATTAGATTGAGGAGCAGAATTTCAACCTTTACTGTCACATCCCAACCTCTCAAACCTTAAGAGGCATGACAATGGGGCAATAACCAACACGCCGCTAGGTAAAATCCGGTAGCATGCCGACTATTGTAACCCCTTTCTAGTTGGTCTTAAGGGCCTTGTGTCTGAGTACCTGCTTAAACCAACTTCACAAATATACATAACTTGCAATAACTCATCAAACACATAACTTAAGCATAATTCATCCTATATCAACATTTCCAATAAACATCCACAAAAAATTCTCTATCAACTTGCCATGCTCAAAAACCACCATATAACATTAAACCAGCTATAATCATTCATAATGTCTCAAAACAACACAACTTGTTTACAGTTATCCAAAATGTAAAATAATCTCCCAACATACATAACTCATATCTACAAAACAAAATCAAAATAGTCTTCAATGGCCTGTCCCAACCTGGTGCTACAAAGTGAGCAAAACACAAGCAATTCGAACACCGAGGTTCTAACTTAAAGTCTCAGCATCTGCAGAGGAGAAAAATTAGTGAGTGAGACAAACGTCCCAGTGAATGGTAATCCAACCAATCCTAGTGGAAACAATTAGTTTTTTTGTATCTATTTAAACAATATAAACATTCTCATAGAATTTCATGTTATGAGGCATAATAATAGATTTTCAATAATATAAAAGCTAAATTGTTATTGTGCCAAGTCATAAAACATAAGAGAGTATAAGTATGAATCATAAAAATTTTCATGGGCATCATAGAAAAA